CAGCATTCAGCCTGCTCTGACCACTGTACTCTCCAAGCTAAAGTCACGGACTGGCAGCATTCAGCCACCATGGGACTGAAGCTGACCGACCCCTGATTGTACCACTCAGACCTAGTGAGATTCAAGCTTCATAGAACATTGTTCAGAAGTATGCTGCTTGATGGTAAATGCCGTGGGCTTAGAGAGGGCCACACAAAAGGAGCCTATACCTTAGGAGTAATGCAGAAGCAAGAGGAGTAGTTGGTTTGAATGGCTGACACGTGCTGAGCACCCTGTGATGGATATATGTTATTGTCTTCATTCTAATGAATACCACGTTCACACAAGCAGGAAGGAGTCATGCTGGGGTTGAGCCTGCCATGCTGTCTATCTTTGGTGGTCAGTGAAATTTTACTCTTTGTCCTCTCAGAAGCACTCAAATAAGTCTTGAATATGCATGGCTGGCCTGGGTTTTGTTGGCTGAGTCCTCATCCGCTGGTGTTCAGGGTGTGCGGGTCTATTCCTTGGTACAAGTATAAACAGTGGTTTTCAGTGCACTGTTCTTGGGAGTTCAGGGATGATCATTCATCTTTGAAACATGTTGAGCATGTCAAAACATGGATTTTTGTGCTTAACCTTCTCCCCAGTAGAACACAAAGCCAAATGCTTTGTAGGCTGTTAATAGTAAAGTGCCTGCCTGACACACGAGGACCTGGGTATAATCCCAAGCCATGTTAAAGAGATAAATAGCTCACAAATATAAAAATATAGTCATCCAAAATAATTTTTTAAATTTGGAAAGGGTGGGTCAGGGAGGAGTGGCTCAGTAGTTATAGCACCTCCTGGTCTTCCAGGGACCAAGTTGGATTCTTAGGCTCTGCGTTAGGTAGCTCACAAATTGTATTAGACATCAAGAAATGCTAGGATCAGCAAAACAGATGTCTATACCTTCACAGAGCCTATCTCTGGTCAGATGATAAACCAAGGCCCTCAGACTAATGGGGAGGCTCATGCCCTCATAGGACTAGGCAGGTGTCCCAAGGCTAGACCAGAAGGATAGACATTGAATGTACTCTAGGAGACAAGAAGCTTTTGGGAGTCTTGTGCAGATGGACAGAAGGTCAGGCCCAAGAACCTGAGTAGCTGGGAGGCCTCACTGGCTCAAACCAAGATATGACCCCAGAAGTAATAAGTACTCAGATTCTGATGTATTCTGAACTACAAATAAGAGGTTCAGCAGAACCAGGGGTGAGTTTAGGGCTTGGAAGGAAAGGACATTGCAAACATGTTGTTATTTACTGGTCTGCCCAGTAACTCTGCTGTGTTTATAAGCCAAGTCCTTTGAGAAACACACAGACAGAGCTGCATCAGGATGCTGGCACACTCATTCTAGGCAATGCACATTCCCAACCCTCCCACTCCCAACTGAGAGAGTCTGGTTCTCAGGGAGTGGCTCAGACTTCTGTGCTATTTATTAATGTGATGAAATCAGAATAGAGTGTGAACTACAGCTTTTTTGCCAGAGACAGGAAGAGTCCAAATCTTTTGACTGACTCCTAGTCATACAACTCTGATGTACTTCCGATCGGTCTCCCTGACTGTGGTTTACTGGACTCAGGCCTGTACCCCATGTCGGAGCACCTGACCTGCCTTAGTGGCACTGATTGTTGTGCTTTCTTATAACTGCTCATTCGGTTCTCTTTCCCAGTGAATTTAGTTTTATTTACTGGGAAATATTACTTGGCAAGTACTCAGTAGATTGTCTCTTAAAGCAACAACAAAACTTGTGAAGACAGGATAGGCTGTACCAGCATTGGTTAGAGCCGTGTTTCAGCCCTCTTCTGCTCTGGACTGGTTCTGAGATGCAAACAAGTTCTTCAGATCTCTATACCCTGTGAAAGCAAGTTGGGCATGATACTCACATTGGGGAGTAAGTGTTCCTGGTAAGACTCCACATTTTCTCTCCTCTTGATCTTGTTGGACTCTAATGGTTTAATCATTTCTGACAACTTCCTCTGTTCCAAGAATGGAATATCCAGCATCCTGAAGATGCAGAGTACTGGGCTCATCCAGGTGTTTAATGATATTAAAAAACAAAACAAACAAACAAACAAAAACAACCCTTGCCTTTTTTTCTCTCTTTGATTTCAGCTGCTTGTGCAAATCAGCGTCCAGACCTCTTCGGCTGTGTTATTGCCCAGGTTGGAGTGATGGACATGTTGAAGTTTCACAAATTTACTATTGGTCACGCCTGGACCACTGATTACGGGTGCTCCGACAGTAAAGAACACTTTGAATGGCTTCTCAGGTATGTTTTCCTTAATATTTGTATATATGCTATTCAGAATCTGATCTCTTAATAGTGATCATAGTTGACAAAGTCACAGATACAGTGACACTCTCCTGTGTTCCTTGTGTTTTGTTTGTTTTCAATGCTGGGGCTTGAAGTCAGGACCTTACAAGTGCCACTGAGTCACAGTCAAACCCCCAGATTTACTTTTCCACGAAGATGGTCATCTAACATTCCTGTTAAACACTAATCCAGGTCATGCTGTGAAGGGACTTTTCAGGCAGCAGAAGGCCATCGAGAACCTGAGACACACTCTGACTCAGCCATCCGACCGTGTGACATTGAATTCTGCCAACAGCTGGATTCTGGGAGTCACTCTTTCCCAGAGTTCCCCAGTAGAAGCTCTGACAGCTCACCTTGACTTGGCCTTGAGACTTGGAGCAGAGAACGGAGACGAGGCAGTCCAGACTCATTACTCAGTGACAGGAGTCTCTTTCTCTGCTACGGTTACTGTGTGTCACTCTACCAACCTGGGATTAATACAAAGCTTGATCAATAGAGAAGACTGGCGTTCTTAAACAAGAACATAGATAGCTAAACTATTTTTGTGCTCAGTATAACCACATTTATTAGAAGTTAAGTGCGTTAGTTTGTACACTGCTTTTTTTCATAACCCTCAACAGCCTTGGTGATAACAGTGGGTAAATGAGATGTTTTCCTTCTCTTTCTTTCTTCACATCCCACGTGTAACGTTTCTAGACTGTTTCTCAGCTGTATTTCCCATTACAGTCTTCTTGGAGAATCATACACTTTGATTCAAAACAACTTTTAATTTGCCATGTTTTTTAAATAGCTAACTTCCCTTGTTAGAACCTCATGTAAAGTGTCTTAATTAGGTGCTGTGAAACAACTACATTTTAGTCTCAAAGGGAAAGAAGCTAACTCTGAGTCTTGTGGTTACTCACTGATGTTCACTGGTATAACTGTGTCCAGTGAAGCCATAATTCTCATTATCTGGAGATACACATCTAGGGGATGAAGACCTTTGAAACCTAATGAACTTTGTACGTCAAAGACATCAGAATGCTCCCCACCATCTGATGCTTCCTAAATGAACTTGAAAGGGGGAAAAGGTTCCAGAAAAATCCATAGCATTCCCACTTCAGACTTCAGTGCTCTGATGTTGCTTGTTCAAGACTGGGCCTCCCTTTATCTGTTCACCTCCTGCTGCTGCGTGGGCTGAGAGCTCAGCCCTGCGCATCAGCTAGAGAAGGCCACACAGGGGTTCCTGGGTGTGTCACGTCCTGTACACACCGGGAATTGTATCTAGTGTTTCTTTCTGCAGAAGTTCTCTGAATTTTAATAGACGTTGTTTCACAGTGAGCAGAGAACTAACCGATGTCCAGGGGTTGGTCAGACAGATCCACTACTGCCCAGCACCCTACAGTGAGAAAGCAGGCCTCCAGCTCCCTGTACGTTAGTGATCAACGGGCAGGATTCATACTGTTTCCAGTATTCAGAGACTTTGATTCAGAAAAGTCTCTAGTGAAACAAAGTGTTACATTCATTAGCGCAAAACTTAGCAACAGAGACGTTGTTAACAGTGGGCAGAATGTAAAGAACAGATACCTAGATGTTCCTCTCATTAAACTGTTGCCTGCCAATCACTCTATCTCAGTTCTTTACTCCTTAAAACCCTGCTTAAGCAACTTACCTGTTAAATTTGTCATCTGCCTCAGATAAGTCTCCTGCTGCTTTCTCTCCATTTGCCCGATGTCCAGGGCTAGACTAAGCCACGCACCTTCCTGTGCAGATTAGCTGCCAGGCCCAGAGGATAGCTAAGTCCTTCCTAGAGCAGCCGCATTTAGCCTGGGGTGCAAGTGTGAGAGTTGTTCACAGACAGAGAGGCTCCAGTGCAGGGCAGGTTCTAAATCCTTCAACAGATAAACAGGTAAACAGATAGGACAAAATGTTAAACTCTAAACAGTTGGGTTATTTCAGCGGCCTGTGACTTCCTTTCTCTTACACATTTCCAAGGTTAGAGCTAAGTTAAAGACTCAGGTCCCCAGTGTCCTGTAGCTCTCGACAGTCGTACTGCTGTGGCCCTCGGGTGCTGTTAGCGCCAGCCCTCTGTAGTGAAGTTAGGTCCTGTGCAGTGTTGACCTGCTTGACTGGTCTCTGCAGGAGCTCTGCTCTTGGTATCCATCCTCATGGAAGTCCCTTTGCTTCATAGGTACTCACCACTGCACAACGTGAAGCTTCCGGATGCAGATGACATCCAGTACCCGTCCATGCTCCTCCTCACGGCTGACCACGATGACCGCGTGGTCCCGCTGCACTCGCTCAAGTTCATTGCCACTCTTCAGTACATCGTGGGCCGCAGCCGGAAGCAGAGCAACCCCCTGCTCATTCACGTGGACACCAAGGCTGGCCATGGGGCCGGGAAACCCACCGCCAAAGTGATAGAAGAGGTCTCCGATATGTTTGCGTTCATAGCGCGGTGCCTGAACATTGAGTGGATCCAGTAAATGGGATTTCCAGCTCCTCCCACCAGACACAGAAAACCTCAAGGGCTTTCTCACCATCCTGACCGAGAAACCACTGGGCAGAACGCTGCCCCCACGTGAGCACTGTGCCTCCGCTCACAGACAGCGAACCGCTGAACTGCCACGGGACTTTATCTTTTCTAGGCTTCTCCTTTCTAGCAAGCCCTTGATGTTTTGTTGTTTTTTTTTTTCCCCACTCTCTCCAGGCACATATATTAAAAGGGGGGCGGGGGAAGGGGGGCATGTTTATAGGAAACTAAATGACAGTGAACATGTTGTGAATATTAGACCCCTGAACTCTTAAGGGGTCTAAGTCAGAGTCATAGTTGGGCATACTCATATATAATAGCTCAATGCAGTTACTTCTCTAACCATAGCATATAACCTTAAATACATGGGAGACCTCAAGGGAGACTCCACTGCAATTCTAATAAATGCTGTTTAAGAGTGGGAGGCTTTAGTTTTGGTTCCTTTGAGAGGCAGCCCTCAAAACTGCAGACAACTATCAGAATGAAGAATGTAGCCTTTATGCAGCAGGTTAGTTTCCAACACTTAGAATCTTGGTACCACAGAAAAGAGGCCGAGTCTGCCTACCTCGTCTCGCTTGGTGGATGCAGCTGTGGGAGAAGGCTTGTCGTCACCACTGTTACCCACTCAGGTAAAGATATGGCTGGGCTCTTCCGGTTTGGATGCCTCTTATTAGAAGTCTCTGGACTGGGATTGGAGAGATGGGTTCGTGGACGAGGGAGTTTGCTCTGCAAGCCCGAGGACTGCTGAGTTTGAGTGACAGCACGTGTATAAAATGCTGGGCACGGGCTACATGTGCCTGTAACTCCCTGTAGTGGGGGCAGCAATAGGCAGATCCTGAGCACTCAGTGGCCAACCAAGTTAGCCAAAAATGGTGAGCTTCTGGTTCATTGAGAGACAGTGTCTCGGGGTAGTGAGGTGGGTGGGGACAGAGAAAGACATCAGACACCCTCAGGTCTCGGTGTACACGTGCACAGATGGGCACACCTGCACACACATGCTTGCACCATGCACAGAAACTACATACAGACACATAAACTATGGAGTGGAAAATTAAGATTATTCACCTGTTTGCCCGTGCATTAGCTTGGTTGCAGAGTATTTGTGGAAATGAGTCAAACACAAGTAAACTGTCCAAATAGAGGCATTCACCCAATCTCCCTTTGTAACCTGGAACCTGCAGCATTTCCCAGGCTTTGTCCCTCCCAGGTTACTTTCCAGCAATGCCAAATGGAAGTAAGGTTTCCATTTGCTGCACCCCAGCCCCGTAATTTTTGAGGAACAATACAAATTCCTGAAACCTAGGCTTTAGAAATAACGTTCCGGGTGTGTTTTAACATCTCACAATATACTGTGCCTTTCTTATCAGCTTGGGAATGCTGGTATCTAGTTTATAAGAAAAAGCTGTGTGACTTTATCAGCGGTGATTGAAAGGAGTAGCTTCACCGTACACAGTTACAACGCCGATCACCCGGCAACCGCGTCCGAACCACAGGCACACGCCTTTTACGAAGTGTTACTCTTTGAATGTTTATCAGATTGTGATTGGAGACTAGATACAGCGTTTTCTTTCACGCCTGCTAAGACACACCAAACACAGCTCAAAAGTGGGACAAGGTTTGTGTTTCCTATTCCAGAGTCATGCTGTCCACCGACCATTTGTTTGTGTGAACACTATGCATAGTGGGGCTGGCATTGACCATCGGACTCTAACATGCCACCAGCCTGCAGGTCACACTGAGGCAGAAAGCAGTAACATTCATCACAGTCTCTTGCCTGCATAGCTGAGAACAAGGACTGTTTGTGCAGGGAGGCCAAAGGCAGCCTCTGCTGAGCTGTCCCCACCCAGGGCATCTCCAGTGCACGCAGAATCTGACCACCTTCCCACTGAGGTCTCCTAGACAGGGAAGGTGGACGTGGAAGGCGCAGGGCCTGCTGCAGCGTGAGAGGCCATGCTGAGGAATAACGCAGTATGTCTATGAGTACCTAGCACGGGTCACTTCTCTCTTCCAACCTAAGTTTCCTGTCTGTATTCAGAAGGGCACTGCATCCACATACAGACCGTCTTTACTTTTTAAGCTTTAGACATGGGAAGTAATCATTGGTAAAAGCATGTGCCACCAAGCCAGAGTTCAGCCCCTAGGACCCGCATGGCGGAAGGAGAAAACTGACCCCTGCAAGTTGTCCCCTGGCATCTAACATGCATAGACAGGAAGTAAATAAATATTAGAGCTGTTTTAATTAGGAACTCCCTAAGACCAGAAGCCACGCCTTTCCAGAGTCCTCTCCTCATCACCACCTTTTCTGTCCCCGCTCTGCCCTTCATCTGTGTCACTGCCAGTGACATTTGCTGGTGTGTGTTGGGGTAGGGCTGCTACACACATGATGTAGCTACCAGGGCCTCAGAGCATCTTCGCCTTAGTAAGGTAGTTACACGTGTGGCATTGACTGTGTTCATCCATGGATATAGTGAAACCCTGCAGTTACTCACTACGCAGCTACATCAAAGTAGCAGAACTAGTTTGAAAAGGAAACCTGACAACCAAGCTCTCCACAGTATGGTGAGGGTTTTAGCAACCATGGGTAACTTTCTGGGGAAGACCACACAACCAATACTCAGAACATTGTGAAGATACCCAAGGACTGGTTAATGGTGGGCTAGATAGAAAGCTGGATGGGGAGAGGCTTAGAAAGAGGCCAAGAAAAGGTTGTCAGGGTGTTCAGGCAAACGGAATGAGGACAAAGGAACACAGAGCAGAGCCATATTCTAGGTCCTATAGGTACAGAAAGTCCTCTCATCAAACAGATCCTCCCAGGGAGGAGGGTGTCTGTGGTGTTTTCCCTGTCCAGTGCTGCACTAACCATCCTGTGTTTGAATGTCCGTCCTCATTCAGCCCTGTGAAGCACGTGCTACGCCCTTGTCTATTCATTTAGCAAAGGCCCAGGGATCCCAGCTAGGGAGTACACAGAACTACAACCCTAGCAATTGGACCTTAGGGACAGTTACACTCTGAATGACTTATTTCCCCCTAAAACTTAAGTATTAAATCTCAGCTCTCAAAGTTGTAGCATTAGGTGGGGGCTCTGGGGTGACGAGGTCAGGAATGGAGTCAGTGTCTTTCTGAAGTCTTACTCCTTTCACCCTGTCTGGGTACAACTGCCACCAGGAAGTTGGCCCTCTCCAGAGCTGTCATTTCTGAGTAGGAGCCACCCAGTGTTAGTGTTGGTACTCACCCTCCTGGTAAGTCAATGCACACAAAATTCAGTTTGAGGAATTAAGAGCATTGGAGGGACAAAGCAGGACAGATGTACAGTTGATAACCAGAAGTGCTGTTTCCATGAATGTAAAGAGGCCACATTTCAGCAAAGCCCTGGGGAGAGCAGCATTGGTGTGAGCGCAGAGCTGGAGGCAGAAAACAACGTAGGGCAGATAATCCTAACACCATGAAGGGAGCCCAGGGCTAAGAGCAGCAGAAATGCACAAACAGACTGGCATACTGCATCATAGGGCCTCAGTGACATGTTACGAGAAAAAGCCAGGCTCAAACAACCGTGGGAAGTATATTCCACCTATATGAAATGTCGGTTCAGTGGGTGTACGGGATTGGGGTGGGGTAGGGATAGAGGTTAACTGCTTAGAGATAACGGTTTTTACTTAGGTCATGAAACTTCCACCACTGTATTAAGGTGAAGATTGATCCACCCAGATGTCACTGAATCATGTTCCATGAGAGTGATTTTCATGCTATGGAAATTGTGCTTGGAGAAAGATGTCAAGCTTTGGTGATGAAAGAGAAAAGCAGCAGTGAGTCTTTCTGGATGATGTCATCCAGGAATAGCCTGGTATACTGTGATGTCAAAATGGCAGGTGACAGGGAGCAGCTAGATAAAAGCTTGCATATCGCTCGTGTGCTAAGAGGGCAGGGATATTTTAAGCAGGAGTCCTTACATTAGTGTTCACGTCCTGGGCCAAAGTTGTCAGGCTTCCTCCACTGAGATTGCTCCTTAGACTGAGTTAGCCGTTGGTCCCCTCACTGGCCTCCTTAATGCTTAGCCAGGTTCCTGTAAACTGCTGGACAAGGACAGAGGCAGCCAAAAGCCCCAGGACAGGGCAGACCGAGTTCTGACAGGCTCCATTGAGGCTGGGTAAATGTTCAGGCTCTTATTTTATCTATGGAGCAAGTAGGAATGGGTAGCCTTTTATAGAGGCTCTCAGTATCAAATAATCCTTGGAATTGTAAATAAACACCTTAATGGTAACAAGTGACTTAGGAAATTTCCTCGAGTTGGCAAGGAGAATAAAACTTCTTCTGTTTCCTAAGTACCAAAGGCTTTAGTAAATGGCAAGAGGAACCTCCTAGTCACTATAACAAGGTAAACTAGGGCCAGTTTACCTGAGAACAAGGACAGCATCAAGCATAAATAACCAGCCA